ACGTTTGTTGATTAAATGTTTGCTGTCGCTATTGCTTTCCACAGCTTGATTATTTGCTACCGCTCCGTTCGGCATTGCCATGCAGCTTGTTGCTACCAAAACCAGTAGGGCAAACAAAAAAACCTTTTGGCCGATCTTGTGCATTGTTGCTTGTTGTTACTCGTTGCTGCTAGACGCTTGAGAAGAGTGTGGCGGAGAAATATGAGCAAGTTTGAAAAATGGTATCTATATTATAATAGACAAATTCAGTTCGGGAACTTTCATCTGATTGGTCACAGAACGGAAAGAAGATATATGTATATACATATATGAGTAGATGACGATGAGCATCTGTGTACATTGTCCTATTATCTTATATACATCGTGTTAGGAGCAATCTATATTATATTTTACATTCAGAAACTTTTGTCTTATGTAAATTAAATCAATTTTTTCTATAATATTAAAGTTCAATCAAGGGGGAAAAGCGAGACTTCCGTACTCCCGAAGTACAATGTAAGTACAGTGGAAGTACAGGGGAGTACAGTGGAAGCACAGCGGGATTACAGTGAGAGTGCAATAGAAGTACAGGGGAGCACAGGGAGTACAGTGGAAGTGCAGCGGAGTACAGTGGGAGTGCAGTGGGAGTGCAGTGGGAGTACAATGGAAGTACAGTGGAGTGTGAGGGAGCACAAGGAAGTACGCACTTCAGGAGTCTCGCTTTCTCCCCCTTGAGTCCAACCCTTCACAGGGGCCTCTAGTGTTTCTACAATTGTGCTTCGGCTTTATATATACTTCTATCGCCGATGGAGAGAGAAATAAATTTATTTTTTCTTACCCGTAGAGGAAGAGAGACAGATGCCCTTTTTGCGAAGAGGATGGTAGAAACAGCTTTTTTTTCTTCTACGCAGGCTTGCACGTCGTTACCATTGTAGAGAAAAATCTTTTTTTTTTTGGGTGCACTCTAAAAAAAATAGAAACTTCACTGAACCCTTCAAAAAGGTTTCGTAGGTGTCTAAAAGCTTCTAAATGCGTCCAAAAGCCTAAATAAACGATTTTTAAAATTTACGAAACCTTAAAAGGATCGGGACGCGGGCACACTTTCCGAACCATCTTCTACGAAACCTTTTTTAAGTTTCGTACAGCAAAAAAAGGTTTCGTAGGAAAGTACGAAGCCTTTATCGTTTCCTAGTAAACCTTATGGTTTCGTATAAAACCACAGTACGAAACCATAGGGTTTAATAGACAACTCTGAAGGTTTCGTATTTTCTTACGGAACCTTTTTTTCGCTCTACGGAACCTTTTTTTCGCTGTACGGAACTTAGAAAGGTTTCGTAGAAGATGGTTCGGAAAGTGTGCCCGCGCCCCGATCCTTTTAAGGTTTCGTAAATTTTAACAATCGTTTATTTAGGCTTTTGGGCGCATTTGAAAGCTTTTAGACGCTTACGAAACCTTTTTGAAGGGCTCGGTAAAGTTCCTATTTTTTTTAGAGTGT